GCGCCGGGATCTCGCGGTCCCGTCGGATTTTCCAGGGACGTTGCCGAGGATCAACCGGAACACCGATGAAATACGCTCTCGGACCCGTTCGGATCATGCACGCGATTCAGGATTATTTATTCCTTGACCGCCTTGCGCGAACACGCTAAAAATATCCTGCTCGGAGCGCTGGATCGTTTTGCAATGGCTCCAGAAATTTGGGATTTGTGCCGTTTAACCCTAGAAAGATAGCCATATGACAACGTACGTAAAAGATAACCATACGCTTCAGAGGCGCATGCTTTTCTAAGGCGTCAATTTTATACTAACAATGGATATCTATTTAAGTTAATCTAGTCATTTTAAAGGTTTGGCATTATTGTAAAAATAAAATGCATTTATATTATATTTTTTTATATTTTAAGTAATTTTAAACTTAAATCACTAGACCTCTATGAAAAATTAACAAAAATCAACAGTCTTCGCAGGCGCCTCTGCGACGTAGGTTATCTTTCTCGGGTTAAAGCAAACGTGGTGGAAGTGAATTTTTTTGCTCGATTTAAATCGTATTTAATTTAATGATTTATTCGAGTTTTCTCGGTTATTTCAAGTTCAAGCTTGAAAGCGGCTTGCACAAAAGAGTTGTAGCAATTTTTATGTTATCGCATTTTTCAGAAATTTTCATTCATGCTTCGTTACGCAGAGATAATTTTTTTTTATTTCTGCTTTGAACGGTTCAACTGGAAACTTGGTAGCATTCGCCCTCAAAGAGTTGAATCTTTGCGCTAAGAATTATCTTATACTTTATTAACGCTAGGACTAACAAGCTAGGTTATTTACATATTTTTTACATTACATTATTTTTTCTTTTGCAATTCCTGGTATTATTAAAATGTTTCTATGAGCAATTTTTAGATGTATTTCTTTATCTCGAAGCATATATTATAATAGAAATCGTACGAAGAGAGAGAGAGAGAGAGAGAGAGAGAGAAGAGAGTTTACATAAATCCAATATTATTATTGCCATAAAAGCATGTACATTAGTCGCGTTTTGGGCTCGGTAGTTCTAGTCTTAGAGTTGAGTACTCAAAGGGGCGAAATTTAGACAAATTCTTCCTACGATGTCAACTCGCGTTTCATCAGTGCTCATCGCTTGTATCGATTGTATTTCGCACTTCTATGCAAGTATTAATAATTTCAAGTCTCTCACTGTGGTCCGGGACCGTGGACTGCACAATACAATATTAACGATCTAGCAAATGCACGGGCGATTAGAAATATACATGAAACAATTGGGGAACCGGATGGATAAACCACGTTGTTACCATTTCATGGATTAATAGTCAACGAAGAAACATTATGCTTGACACTAGAGGTTCACGATTGTTAAGATGGCCAAGATACATTCGCGAAAAATTTATTCCACTTTGCTTCGGCAAATATGACAATAAAAATCGCCGAAAATCCCTCGATTTATGCGAAGCACAGTAATTTCTCCTTAATTCGCGCTCAGATTTCGGACAATTTGGGAAGAGGAGATACGATTATTCGAGCCGTGCGGCTCGTTTTTATAGTTACCGATTATTAGCGGTTATAAAAACGAGGCTCGAATAATCGTATCTCCTTTTCCCAAATTGACCATTTTTTTGCGCAATTTGAGCGCGAATTAGAGAGAAATTACTGCATCCGCGTGGATTTGTTTTAGACGTACAAAAAATACCACGTAAAGAGTGTTGTAATTAGACAGCGGATTTGACGCATTTACAGCAAAAATTAGTGCATGCAATTTAAAACAGTGAGGAGGTTAAAGGAAACTAAGAATGTTGACGTCTCAATTTGAGCTTATAAAAATGATTAAAGAAAGAAAACATAATGCGTTTCGCTCCAACGTCTGGCAATTGATGCAAACAATTTTTATTTAGCGTAAACATCCGCAGTCTAGCTATAATCGATCGCGTAAAAATGAGACTCGCGTAAAGAGGATGCCGCTTAAATTAAGAGTCGGATGTACCCGCTTGTTATTTTCATGAAGAAATATAAAACAGCCGCGCGCAATGCTCCGTAAAGCCAGTGTTAAGAACTTCCCGTTTGGTAGTTACCTTTAAATATCTGAAATGGAACAGGCCTGTTTTCCCATAATCGCGTACTCGAGCGGACTTTCCCCGGACTTGTCTACTGACAGGTGCTATTACCGCGCGGTGTGCGAGATTGATTGACGGGTTTCCTACTCTAAAGGCGGATAATTACGGAGTCGTGTGTCGAGAGCGCGTCTATCGCGTCCCGTAAAAAGTTTCCGTAGTTCGCAGGCATAACAGAGTGAATCGTTAAAGAGCGCGCGGCTCGAGGAAAGAAGTGTTGTTTCTCGCGACTATATGCCAGAGGGTGGGAAATAAGCGAGTGTCGCGAGGAGAGAGGACACGGGGAATAATGATGGAAGGTAGAGACCGAGGGCCCGGCGTAACCTTCATAACGCCATAATTTCCCGACACACGACACCGTAACGGGTCGCGAATGTTCTGCCGGAACGTATTAATAATGCTTTGACTTCGACCACAATGCGATGCATACATTACGCGGGCGGCGCAACGTGTCATGCCGAACAAACGGATACGTTTGCGGGGCTGATTTATGCCTGTCGTAATTGAACGCTCTGCTAATTGAATCGGGCCCGGTTTTTCGAGCCGGAAATTCGTCGCGCTACCTATCCCCGCGCTCCCCCCTACGCCCCCCCGCCCGCCACCCCTACGCGGTACTCGATAATGCGCGAATCAAACTGGAACAGGTGCGCTTCTCATTGGGAAAATAATGCGGGGACAGCCGCTTGTTACCGCGAGCCGAACAATGAAAAATTCATGCAGAACCTCGCCGATCTTGGCGGTGTTTTCTTTCTGCTCGGATATAATTGATCGACCGGCGATGCGATGTCTTCACCTCTACGAGCTGTTACGTGATAGGTGACACAGTGGAACCTCGATTAACTTGGTTTTACAATAGCAGAATTTTCTACGGTCGTAATACGATTTTTACGTGTCATCAGTAGACATTTATGATAGAATCGAATACAATTTTTCTCTAATTCGCACTCAGCTTGCGCACAAAAATGGACAATTTGGGAAAAGGAGATACGATTATTCGAGCCTTCCGGCNTACTCGAGCGGACTTTCCCCGGACTTGTCTACTGACAGGTGCTATTACCGCGCGGTGTGCGAGATTGATTGACGGGTTTCCTACTCTAAAGGCGGATAATTACGGAGTCGTGTGTCGAGAGCGCGTCTATCGCGTCCCGTAAAAAGTTTCCGTAGTTCGCAGGCATAACAGAGTGAATCGTTAAAGAGCGCGCGGCTCGAGGAAAGAAGTGTTGTTTCTCGCGACTATATGCCAGAGGGTGGGAAATAAGCGAGTGTCGCGAGGAGAGAGGACACGGGGAATAATGATGGAAGGTAGAGACCGAGGGCCCGGCGTAACCTTCATAACGCCATAATTTCCCGACACACGACACCGTAACGGGTCGCGAATGTTCTGCCGGAACGTATTAATAATGCTTTGACTTCGACCACAATGCGATGCATACATTACGCGGGCGGCGCAACGTGTCATGCCGAACAAACGGATACGTTTGCGGGGCTGATTTATGCCTGTCGTAATTGAACGCTCTGCTAATTGAATCGGGCCCGGTTTTTCGAGCCGGAAATTCGTCGCGCTACCTATCCCCGCGCTCCCCCCTACGCCCCCCCGCCCGCCACCCCTACGCGGTACTCGATAATGCGCGAATCAAACTGGAACAGGTGCGCTTCTCATTGGGAAAATAATGCGGGGACAGCCGCTTGTTACCGCGAGCCGAACAATGAAAAATTCATGCAGAACCTCGCCGATCTTGGCGGTGTTTTCTTTCTGCTCGGATATAATTGATCGACCGGCGATGCGATGTCTTCACCTCTACGAGCTGTTACGTGATAGGTGACACAGTGGAACCTCGATTAACTTGGTTTTACAATAGCAGAATTTTCTACGGTCGTAATACGATTTTTACGTGTCATCAGTAGACATTTATGATAGAATCGAATACAATTTTTCTCTAATTCGCACTCAGCTTGCGCACAAAAATGGACAATTTGGGAAAAGGAGATACGATTATTCGAGCCTTCCGGCTCGTTTTTATAGTAGTTGACAATCGGTAACTATAAAAACGAGCCGCAAGGGTCGAGTAATCGTATCTTCTCTTCCCATATTGTCCATTTTTGTGCGCAAGCTGAGCGCGAATTAAGGAGAAATTACTGTAGACATTTTCTTTCGTTTTTCATATACAAACAGAATTTTTATTACGTATATGTTTTATATTGTTTTCAACTTCTAGTCTTTTCTTTCCAATTTTGAATGTTTTTACTTTGGTTAAAAGTCTATTTCAAGTCAATGCTTTATGAACACGTGCAAGTTTTAATACATGATTAAGTACCTTCAGTTTTGATATCTAACTTGCAATAGGGTAACAAAATGATTCAAAATAATTCCCAATAAAAACCTATTCATAATTATTATATCCATAAAATCAAAATGATCCATAAATGAAATAAAAATATATCCATAAAAACGCTTCCACAATTAACCTATGAAACTAGCAAATTCTGTTAAATTTTAAATTCAATCCATACAAATTCAGAAAAACTTCATAATTATAAGGACTATTATTGTATAGACCACAATTATATGAATATACTATGGTTTTCACTTAATTGGCATTGCCCCTAATTTGAAACCATTTCATTTCATCCTAAACGGCTTTCTACCTAGCCGAATTTAACTAAATAATAACAATAATAAAACTATAAAGCTTGCGCTGATTCTATCAAAAATGCCCACAACTCACAAAATTAACGCCGCTCTTAATTCGAGATGTCACGTCCGAACAATCGAAAAGCTTGCGAAATCGAAGCCGCGACTTCCTCCCCGTGACATTTGCCATTGCGTCTTACCTCCCGCGATCACGATCGTACAGTGAACAGTAATAATTAATTTGCTTTCAGAGCGGCGTTAGGCCGGGTCTGCATGAAGCTGGTGGTCGTGATGGGCGTCACCTGGGTGGCCGACGTGGTCTCGTGGGTAGTCGGCGGACCGCAATACATCTGGTACTTCACGGACCTGATAAACGCCTTCCAGGGCGTGCTGATCTTCGTGGTGGTTGGCTGCCAGCCGCAAGTGAGGGCCGCGTTGAAGAGGCTGTTCAACAGAAACCCGCGGACGAACGCCGGAAGGCAGGGTAACGGGCTGAGCACGACCAGCCACGGGATGCCCAGCATGGGGGACAGCGTCACCCAGAACCCGAGCACCAAGACTGCCCCGTTGGAGACCATCTGCTAAGAGGACTGTCCCGCCGTCGACGGGAGCAGAGTCTTCTCTCCGCGCAGGAAGCTCTACGTCTCCCGTGGACCCGAGTCTGCGGCCTATCGTCAATAAACAACCGGACCGACGGGATCCAGAGAGGTGTCGGGGAGAGTAACGTCAGCTCCGAGGCCAGACGCGGAAGTTGCTCCGGCCACTCGGAGACCGGAAGAGCACACACAGTATACGAAGCGAAGCGATCGGAGCGCAGAGGCGCGAACACGCGTAGGGGTCGCGACGATAGGTCGAGTAAGCCGGGATTTTCAGTTTCCAATACGGCTGTTATCGGATCCCCTCGCCGGAACAATGCCGACCCGTCGCGCTTCGATCGGCGATGCCAGATAGGAAGCCGCGGCGAACGGCTTCGAGGGTCGGCGACCTCGGGACCGTGAACTTCGACGCTGTTTCGTAGACGCCGGTTTACAGCCAGCCAGTTTTACCTTGCGGAAGTCAGAATTTGTTGCAGACTGAACTCACACACTTATTCGTCGCACGAGGTGCCGGTCTAGAGGCAGAATTTCCTAGAAGCGTCGGACGTGAACGGCTGAACGCTGGCGCGCGCGTCCGCCGTTTGATATTTTCCGTAATTAGCAGTCATTTGTTATTCGGCGTGTCAGATAGAACGGTGCGCGTGCAGAGACGGTGAATTAACATTTTTTTGGAAAGTAGACGATGAAGAGGAAATTGCGTCGAGCAATTTTACAGACGGGAAAAAGAGAGGATATTTAATGCTAGAACTATCGAGTAATACCCAAACGCGACTAATTGTTTCGTAACAATGCAAAAACTGGATTTATTTCAACTTCGTATGATTTATATTACAATATACGTACACTTGAACGAGTTAGGGTATCCAAAAATATCTCCTGGAAATATTTTTATAATATCGAGAACCGTAAAAGAAAAAAATCAGAGGCCAGTCGTTTTGACCGGCTTCGTAGTTCTAGTGTTAAAGATGTACAGAAAAAGGCGAGACGAAGAAGATTGTAGCATTTTAATAAGATCAATTGATATAATGATGATCAATTGATAAGTAACGATCAGAATCATTTACAGAATAACGAGGAGACGTGTAAGCAGTTTTTTTAAGTCGAGTAAAAAGAACGAGCCAATTTTATCCGAACCTCTTTTTGGCAATAATTCTCTGGACATTTTTATACGAAGACGTTGATGTTAACCACGATGCGTTCGCATGTCTGAACTGTTTCCAACGTTCTCCGTGCGCCGGGCGTAGACGCAACATTTCGAAACTGCTTACAAAAGAGGAAAAGCCTTTATTTTCCGTTGCGTCGGTATAAACGCTTGTGACGCATACGTCTGACGCACATAGGAAATCCCGCCTCTGCAGATGTAACGTTCACCTCGGTACCGATCGATCGGTGTCCAGTGGCATTACGACAATCATTTCTGAGCGCCGGTCACCGGTGACCCCGGCAGCAATTCGACGCGGAGGATTCTCGGTTCCGGGGGCCGTTTTTCGCGCGAGCAACGGCGGCCTCCGTTTCGCGCGCCTCGCGTTCGCCGACGGGCTCCTCCGTCGCGCCGAGGTCGTCGACCTTGACGACAGAAGTCCCCGCGAAGAATGTGTCGCGCGAGAATCGCAGACGACCGCTCGTCCCCGTGGACCCGGCCGCGGGGAATGCGACGCGCCGCCGAGAGAGCCTGTCACGTTGAATAGTTCATTGTCACGGCGGAACACAATAGGAGCGCGGCGAAAACAACGCGGTGCGACAAATATTCATAGAGACACCCGGTTCGACTCCCACGGGGGCCAGGTCTCCATCCCCGTTCCTCGGGTTCGAACGTCGAATTCCCGAGCGGCCGTGCGCCCGTCGTCGACTCCGCCGGCCGCGGACCCGAAGAAGTTTGAACCGCCGCGACGGCACGCGGGTGTAACCGGCGCCGCGACCGGCCGCCTCGTCGATCGGTTATTTATAAACGGGAGGACTAATGAGACGACGCGTGCCCGATACCGAGACGATACTTTGTTCGAACGTTATTAATAAACGGCGCCAGCCGAGGCCGGGCCCGTTTCGGGCCGGGCATTTCTCGTCCCGCGTCGGTAACGATCGGACTGCGGATATTCGTGCGAAATAAAAATTGTCTTCGTATCTCGTGTCCAAGAGAAACGAGGCGATAATGTACTTCTTCATTTTAACGATGTTGGTACAGCAATGCTCTGCTGTATTTAAGCATTTCTTCGTTTTCTCGTCACTGTTCTGTGTTTCGTTTATACATTTCTGCTGCAAATGCATCAAATCCGCAGTCCGGGAACGATCGTCGAAGGCCGCAATTGTTCAGAGCCACGACCTTTTCTTCTCTTTGGGTGGTTTATTCAACGACTTGGCCCGTCTAGGTCGGGGTCGGTCTTCGGGGTCGTCGAACGACGCTCGCTGCGTTCTGAGAAGTCGATTTTTGCTAATCGAGAGCTGACTCGTTAGCTTCTCGTTTCAGTATGTCGTGACCCTTGTGGAACGATTAGGCGGACTGCGGGTCTTGGGCGAAGATGGGAGAACAAATTGTTGGCACAAAATTGAATTGATGGAGCGGTCCAATTTATAATGAACTCGCGTTTGCTGTAATTTAGATCGTTGTTTTGTACAATGATCTTGCGGACTAACATCGAGCCGCGGTTTTTGGACTGTTAAAAAAAATCTATGAAAAAGGGAACGGTGAAAAAATATTAGATAAAGACACGATTCCTATTTGTTGGAAGTGATAAAAGACGAAATAAAATTGTTCGCAACTTCTGCCTACTCGTGATCGATGCGACAAGCCTTCACTTCGCTTTTAAGATCCGCAGTCTACCAATTTTTTAGTTCGCATTTAACTGGAACTCGAAGAACAGAACTCGGTGACATAAACTGCGTTAACGCTGGAACCACCGAACCAGTCAAAACGGCTGGTTTCCGACATTTTCGATACGGTTTATGATATAAAAATTGCTCCAGGAGAAACTTACAAACTTCTCGCGCGAAGCTGTGATAGATCCAATCTTGCCATTGTTGTGAAGCAATGCACGTTGGTCCCGTCCAGAGTTCCATGGTTCTAGTGTTAATGATGCGTTGGGTCTCGACAGGTTAACGAGTCTATCAAAATCGACCGAACGGATTGTTAAGCCGGATGAAACCGGTTCGCTGTCCTCTATTTTCTAGCCAGCCTCTCCCATTAGTCCTCCCAGGATTCGATTCTCGAGGACGACCTTGACCCCCGCGGCGAGCGAGAACGCGGTGGGGAAACGCGTGATTCCATGGTGTCTACTTTCGGGCCGCGGCTTCATTATTCATCGGGCGCGCTCGAAGCCGGCAGCGCGATCGCGCTTCAATTTTCTTTAGCATAAATTTGCATCGACGGAGTCGCCGCGCGTCCGCCGCGATCGAGGGGGAATCCTCGGCATTAGCATGCGCGGCGTCGGAGCGGTTTTACGCCGGCGTACCTCGTCATCGATCGCCCCTATCGATCATTCGTTAAACAGCCCGATTCCGGCCACTTTCTCCCGGGGCTTATCGCTTGTAATCCATTCATGGTTTTATCGGCGTGTCCACGGCTTCGCGCGCGTCTTTTCCCGGCGTTCCGTCGTCACCCCGCGCAGCCGTCCCGTGTCCCGCGGAACAGCGGGGACAAATATCCGCTCACTGCCAAGCATCGATTTCGATACACAACAAAGAAGACTCGAGAACAATTAGCAGAGAGTTTCGCAATAGCGCTCGACGAGCGCTCGGCGATCGCGCGCCGTTTATTCTGTACTCGAGACCGAACCAGGCCCGTTTCTCTCTCTTCGGAGCGCATTTTCTTTATTTCATGGGAACGATGGAGAAACCATTTACGTTGTTTTACGAACGAAGATCAGACTGCGCAGGCTGGTTCAATCTCCTCAAGGCGGATCTTTTTACGGGTAGACAGACATGAATTTTAGTTGTTTCTTTTTTTCTTTTTGTTCGTTTCGAGCAGCCCAAAGGAGAACGATGATAACGGCTGCGGGACTGTAAACGACTTTACGCGATCATGGTGCGCGAAAGTACGAGAATCGTTCGTGTTTTCGTTTCAGCGTCACCGTGCGCGAAGAGAGACGAATTCGATTTGTTTAGCGCGGTTTCGTTGGCGTCGCGTAAAGTCACGGAGTCCGATCGTGCCCGCCTTGAGGGGACCGTTGTTTTTTTTCTGTTTCGTTATCGAAAGGGTGCTCGAATCTCGGGTACAGAAATATCTCCTCCACCGGAAGCACAACGAAGCGACATCGTATACGATTTTGCGAACCGTGTTTTTTTCTACTTTTCATACACAGCAGATTTTCGAGATTTTACACAGAGGACACCGTGATCCGACGAGGAAAAAAAAAGAAAAGAAAACGGCCCTCGGCTGTTCGCGTTCTTTCGTCCGCGGTTCGTCGATGGACCGAGTCCTTGTTGTTGTTTCGTTTCATTATGTCTCCACCCCCCTCCCAACCCCCTCAACGACGTTTCTTGTTCGTTTGAAACTGTTACGTGAGTCACGCATCCGCGACGCGACATGCACGTAGGTAGGTCAGGGCATAATCGACTCGAACTCGTGACAATACACTCTAGGAATTCAATGCCTTCGGAAATGCCTTCCAAATGTGGTGTTCAACGTGCCGAATTGTATACAATGGGGAACCAGACGACGGAGAACAGCCGAAATCTCCTCTCGGTTCCCGCGTTCAGCGCGTGCGGCCGCGCGAGATTACCATTTCTCTCTACGCCGCGATGTCCGGCCTCTAACTTCCGGTGACGTTCGCCAACCGCCTCGTTCGTCTTCTAAAGGAGAACTACCATGAGTGGGACTGTTTTGTTTAGGACGAGATAACGACATAGTAAATAAATAACCTTGGCATAATCTTTACTAGAAGAATGCAATGTCAATAATTCTTTTTTAAAGTGCACTTTTTTCTATTCAGTTGATTGCATTAAATGGGACAAGTATATTGGACATGTTGTATAGACAGGTACATAAATAGGCACATGGACTGTACCATGAATGGTGCATTTTATCAAAATAAAATAATCTTGGTATTAATCTTATAAGTACTGTTTCTTGCAATGATCTTCGGTTAACATCTCATTCTAGTATTTTATCACAAGAAAGAATCCTTTCGATAAAAAGAAACTGATTAAATTGTATGTAAAATTAACAAAAATTTCTGAACAGAAATTGAATTTTAAATTGAATCGAATTTAAATTAAACTGAAAATTAACAAAAATTTCTGAACAGAAATATCTTAAATATTATCTCGACAAATATTCCAAAAATTAATGATATTACAAGCAATAAATGTTCAGGCCAGCATTTATGTTTCGTTCGCCCATTTATTACAAATCTTGCACCGATAGCAGTCCTAATTACTTCGTAAATGTTTTTTTTTTACAAATTACGTGTCATCAGATGTGCATAACATCGTTACAAAACAAGTACCATTTTATTATGAAAAGATTCGTAATTTTTTAGGATAATGGTAACATCTCATTCAATATGTGTCCCACTCGTGGTGGTTCTCCCCTGCACCGTTAACCCCTCCGAACTACATCCACCCACGCAATGTTACATTCGTCGTACTTTATACAAAAGTACCGTTTGCCTTCGATTTCGAACACGTTCCCCGTCGTGGCTGCCGTTTTCGGCGCCATTTTCATGGCCGACGCCCTCCGCGTCGTGAAACAATGCACAATGAAATGTTCGGCTGTCCCGAAAGTTCTTTTCGCAGCGCGGCCGCTTATTGTCAGGCAATGCGAACGTAAATGCAATCGTCGACAGTGTTTTAAAATAATGGAACTTTTGGGACGACCTAGTAATTTGCCTTATTGCCAATTTCGGACAAGTGTACTTCACCTTTTCTACCATGTTTTATACTTTTATACTATGCACCCTCGTTTGTCCCTAACTCTGCAACCTGTTCTTTTCGACCGAGTAACGCGGTGCTAAATTTTCTAACCCTTTGCACTCGAAGCTACTCGGAGAAGCTCGAGTATCGGAAATCGAGACAATTTTTCTAAACTACGATATCATTTACGTTTCCAACGCTTACGATTTTTAATAACGTAAAAATTCTATTTGGGACATAATTCAGCGATTTTGAATGGTGATCCATAGTCACCATTCGAGTGCAAAGGGTTAATTGACAGACGAATAGTCGACTATGTATACTTAATGAAGATGAAAGTATCAAATTAACGCCGGAGACAGGCGAGGGTCGAGAATCGATATTCCTAGGAAGCAGCTTTGCATTTTGAATTGAACGTGAAACCGACTCGACGAGGAACGTGTGCGAGCCGTCTGAAATTCTGTGAAATCGCCGGATCCCTTGAAGACAGCGATTTTTGACGGCGCTTTATAGACGACTGTCACGGCGAGTAACAAGTTCGGAGTTGAACGAGCTCTCGAGGGGTTAATTAATCACGATAGCTCATCGATGGGGTCACGTTCGAGTCACTCGAGACCCGGCACCGTCGTCTTCGCCGTCTTCGTCGCGAACTTTGAAAATAGCTCCGGCGCGGATAAAAACGCGTGGTAGGAGGAAAATCGTGTGTATCGATTCCGGGATCGAATCTCACGGCGAACGTGATCGGAAACGAGCAGCGATCGCACGCACCGCATAAAACCTCTACGTAGAGTTAGTAAACCGCGCTCGAGTTTTGCTATTCGTCAGGCAAACACGTGGCGCGGTCTTTGACCAGCGGCTCGACCCAGCCGCAGAGAGTAAAATCATTAGACTGCGGATCTTTATGCAGAATGAAAATTGTATTTGTGAATTGCAACAACCAATTGTCGGGCAGAAAGTTCTTTCGCGTTTTTAACAATTTAATAAATAATACGACGACACTCTTTAACTCCCTCGAGACAGCGGAACATTTTGATAAAACTATAACTCGATGTACTTTGGATCATTTATAATGTTATTTAGCAATTTTCCCAACATATTCTCTAATGTATTTTGTCCTAGACACGTTAGATTTTATATAAAACTCGACGATTCCGTTGACAATTTTAACGAATTGCCGAAACCAGATAGTCAAGTAACAATATCTCCATTCCGGGTCAAAACGGACCCGAGCCTCGCTGTCCAAGTATCAATTCTCTTAAGTCGGTCGGCCGTTTTAAAATTGACCCGCTCATTTTCGTCATAAATGCATAAAATCCGCGGTCTCTACCGATCAGGTGCACCCAAGAGACTGAGCCGCGCGCACCCATCGCTCATGGTAGCCGAAACCATCCATCTCCCGCTCGAGGATCCTCCGAAGCTGTGATCAAAAAAAAAAAAGGAAAGAAAAAAGAAAAGAGGAAAAGGAATGAAAAAATCCGAGAAAAAGTGCGCACAGTTCCGATCCTCGAGCGGGCGCACGGATCGTTTCACGAACCTCCTTAGTTCCTTTTCTTCTCGGTATGAATGTGTGAAGCGGACGGGGGCGTCGTCGTCGCGTCCAACGACGACGGTCACGACGGAGAGGATCTCCTCGAGGGAAGTCCGGGGGAATCGAAAGAGACGTCGACGACGTCTCCGTCCGCGTTGCGTGCGTCCTGTGTGCGTGCCAGGTTGTAGCGAGCTGTTGCGGGCAGTCGCGTGACAATGCGAGCGTGCGAACGGCACCGTGTAATTAGTGTATTAACGAGCTGTAACTTCGTTACAAATCCCCTCGCTGTGTATTATCGCGGCGAACAATGCGCGGCAATGCGCGGCGACGGTCGCCGCGTGGCGCTTATAATCGCCAGGGGACTTTCCCGTCTTCTGGATCAAGGATCCATCGGCGTGACTACCACCGCGCTCGGATCCATCTGTCCGAGATGGACGCTGGCCCACGAACCGTCGCCGCCTCTGGTCCACATTGATCGCCGCCCGCCATCGCATCCTTGTAGATAGCATTCACTGGTCATTGTAATCACGCGTATAATCACTGCGGACGTTGGATCGCGATAATTGGGCCGATAACGCTGCTATCCAACGGCCCACTAAATCTGTAAGTTATTATTCGGTGTCCGACACCGCCGGCAGGTTCTATAGACGACGGGAGCGTCGTCGCCGCGCTGTCTACCCGACAATCTACTATCGAAAACGACGATGCAACGGCGATTGCACGCTGAAATAGAGTTCCATTTAGATGCGCCGATAGGCGACACCGATCTTTAGCCTGCTGTTTGAACATTAAAATGGCGGCTGGGTGAAGTTTCACATGAATGCACACTGAACAGATTTGCGGCAGAGGCAAATGGTAATGGGAAGAATGATTAACGTGTTCATTGTTAATCTGAAAATCCAGAAAATCAAAGTACATGATTTTTTTTTGAGTAAATATATTACTCTTTGATCTCTCTTTGATTTTACGGAACTGTAAACGGATAAAAATAACAAACAATTTCATCGCACCACGTTATTATTTAACACTGAAGCAGCACCAAGCAGCAATTTATTTAGATTTTGTGAAGTTTTTGCTATAAAACTTGCTCCGATAATGTAATTTATTCAAGCATTTTCCACGAAAGAGTCTGAAAAGTTTGCAAAATTGCAACACAGGAGAACAGTAGTCACATTGACCGCGGTTGATTTAGCGTTAAACAGCGTTAAAAGCTGTGTCGCCGACGCTTTCATCGATGCCCAAAATTCAACGCAATTCAATCGATTTTCAAAGAATTTCAGATAACAATGTTTCCGTCCCCTGCTTGTCGGCGCGCCTGATAAAATTCGTTTCCGAACAAGTAATAAAAAGCGACGATAACTCCAGGATAGGCTGGAAGCAATAAGAATAGTAATTCCGCGACGAAGATCGCGCGAGTCCGTAGAATCTGTTCGGCTCGCGGGCACCGCTGTACATTAACGTAACGTCCGTCGTAGCCGGCGGATAGTTAGTCAGGTAGTTAAGATAACCCACGCGAAGGGACACACCCGTAGCCTTAAACTAATTTATTCGGAGTAGACGTTGTCGGCGTACGAACAATAAGATGAACGGTAAGGTATTAAGCGTAGCGCTACCGATACTGCCGGGACAGGCCGCGTTATCCTGCGAGATGTACGCGAGCCTCACCGGCACACGATTCGAATCGATAGCTCTAGGGTAGAGGATGTACACGCGCGTTTATGCGTACACTATCGCCCAGAAATACCTGGTCAGCTGGAACAGTCACCGACCCCGGGGAAGAACGCGGAAAATAAGGGCACACGACAGGCCACTCATATTCCAATCGCGCTGTTTCGCCATTTCTTTTTCATGCGCACTTGCGCGGTTTGTTAGGCAACCCTTCCGCCGCCGTACGCATTGGGGCAATTTCGTTTTCTCCCCGCGAAATTGCCGAACTGTGGATCTCTATGCGAATTCCCATCGTCGCGAGTTGTTTCCTGCGATGTTAGAACGAGGAAGAAGAATTTCTTCAACCGTGGAGAAGAGATGAAAACAATCGGTCGTGTCCTGAATTACGATCGGACTGCGGATTTCACGTATTTATTGCAAAAAAAGAAGAATGATAAGAGAAGTACGGAACAATGAACACATTGGAAGAATTTGAGAGCGTTGTTGCATTGTTTTCAATCGATTGAAACTATCGAACTAAGTCAGAACCAGGAAGAAGAATTTCTTTAACCGTGGTGAAGAGATGAAAACAATCGGTCGTGTCCTGAATTACGGTCGGACTGCGGATTTTACGTATTTATTGCAAAAAAAGAAGAATGATAAGAGAAGTACAGAACAATGAACACATTGGAAAAATTTGAGAGCGTCGTTGCATTGTTTTCAATCGATTGAAACTATCGAACTAAGTAATACGCGTTGTCTTACGATCTTTGTTTTAAACAATTGCTCAAGAAAATTTGTGTTTTCCATAAAGATCCGCAGTCTAATCGTGATACGAAGTCTTTTGCAGAGAGCCTTTTAGAGATAAGAAGTTGTATACGATTATGATTGCGATAACGAAATGGTATATCTCTGCGAAAGTGTTGGCAAGAATCGCGGAATCTCGGATTTACTGATCTGCCCGTTGATCGAACCAGCGATCGGATGATTTTGAGCGGTAGTGTACCCGGTAGCTTGCCAGTATAGAGGCGTAGGGTTAAGGTGAAGCTTGAGAATCGCGTGAATCACGCGGCCGGCACCTGGGAGGACGAACGGGTGTTTCTCCGGCTTGGGAGAAGGAGGAGAACGACGAGGAGAACGGTCGTTCCTGGAGAAAATCCGCGGCCATCCGAGCGATGCCTCGGTCGATCATCGGAGGTCCGCGTGCCTCCGCGTAATATACGTGCGGAAAATCCAACGTTGAATTTAACATCGCGACGGTCGCGGTTGGAACGCGCGTCGGCATCGTCGCGCCAAGATCGTTCGGATCGCCTGGGAATGCTTCTCCCGACCTCTGAAACCACTCGAGCCCTCTCCAGGTCGTTCTCGCCGGTCTCGCGGGAAATCGTTCACTTTTTGTACATTTTTTACACACGCGGCTTGCGTCCGATGCGGCACGCGATTTTTGTTCGATGTTGTGCAGACTGTTGAAGAAACGCGTGCGGATTTCTTCGGAGTGAATACCGAGGCTATATGTATACAAATTTGAGAGCAAGAGAGAGAGAGAAAGAAAAAGAGTGATTGAGAAAGAGAGAGACAATAGTATTAACTGGTCGAGCTAAACGTAGAGGCGAGCCTTGCGGCGGGGCTCGTCTCAGCTCGATCCACCATGTAGAGGACTGTCGATTCACTTATGGTAGAGAGTTTACGATTACAACGACCCTGTACTACGACCGAGCGTACACCATTCCTGTACAATGTATCGTAACAGTATTTACTGTCGCACTAATGGTAATAAACGATAACTGTTAGTACGTTCCTTGGGAGTTTTCGTTCGCCACCCCCTCGTTAATCTTCAACTCTGGCGATAGCGTCCTTCTGAGGTAACGAATCTGCAGAATTGATCAGCTTTCTAAAGGTAAACCAGCGAAATTCACGATGTTTCAATTTCGGATAGATTTCATGCAATAGCAATAGGACAGTTGCAATACAATCTTCTAACGCAGTCCCTTGATTCTTTAATATATTTCTTTCAATTGTATTTTGAAAATATTTAATTAAAAATATTCGAATTTAAATTATTTTCAATTTANTAAATTATTTTCAATCTAAAATATCTTAATTCAAATTATTTCTAATTCAAAATATTTTAATTTAAATTATTTTCAATCTAAAATATTTTAATTTAAGCTATTTTCAATATAAAATATTTTGATTTAAATTATTTTCAATCTAAAATATCTTAATTCAAATTATTTCTAATTCAAAATATTTTAATTTAAATTATTTTCAATCTAAAATATTTTAATTTAAGCTATTTTCAATATAAAATATTTTGATTTAAATTATTTTCAATCTAAAATATCTTAATTCAAATTATTTCTAATTCAAAATATTTTAATTTAAATTATTTTCAATCTAAAATATTTTAATTTAAGCTATTTTCAATATAAAATATTTTGATTTAAATTATTTTCAATCTAAAATATCTTAATTCAAATTATTTCTAATTCAAAATATTTTAATTTAAATTATTTTCAATCTAAAATATTTTAATTTAAGCTATTTTCAATATAAAATATTTTGATTTAAATTATTTTCAATCTAAAATATCTTAATTCAAATTATTTCTAATTCAAAATATTTTAATTTAAATTATTTTTAATTCAAGATATTTTAATTTAAATTATTTCCAATCTACGATATTTTAATTTAAACTACTTTTATTCAAAATATTTGAATTTGAATTATTTTCAATCTAAAATATTTTTATTTAAATTATTTTCAATCTAAAATATTTTAATTTAAATTATTTTTAATTCAAGATATTTTAATTTAAATTATTTCCAATCTACGATATTTTAATTTAAACTACTTTTATTCAAAATATTTGAATTTGAATTATTTTCAATCTAAAATATTTTTATTTAAATTATTTTCAATGTAAAATATTTTAATTTAAATTATTTTCAATATAAAATATTTTGATTTAAATTATTTTCAATCTAAAATATTTTCATTTAAATTATCTTCAATCTAAAATATTTTAATTTAAGCTATTTTCAATATAAAATATTTTGATTTAAATTATTTTCAATCTAAAATATCTTAATTCAAATTATTTCTAATTCAAAATATTTTAATTTAAATTATTTTCAATATAAAATATTTTGATTTAAATTATTTTCAATCTAAAATATCTTAATTCAAATTATTTCTAATTCAAAATATTTTAATTTAAATTATTTTCAATATAAAATATTTTGATTTAAATTATTTTCAATCTAAAATATTTTAATTTAAATTATCTTCAATCTAAAATATTTTCATTTAAATTATTTTCAATCTAAAATATTTTAATTAAAACTATTTTCAATTCAAAATATTTGAATTTAAACTATTTTCAATGTAAAATATCTTATCTAAAGAAGTTCACGCAGCGACGGAATGCGCTAAAAACACGAAGCCATGAAGAATTCTACCATCGAACCGACGTCCTTGTTGCAATCGTTTCCGACTAAAAGCATTCTAAAATTCGCTAAGCTTTCCGCGAAGCCTGCCGTTGACCAAACGGGCCGAACGTCCGTCCAATCGAGTGGCTCATAAAAATCTCTGATTCGTATAAACATCCGCAGTCTAATTCGAAACGGCCTCGGGCACCGAGCTCGCAGAGTTCTCGGATTTCTAACGACGCGACGGCGCCGGTGCACGCGCCCATAGAATCTAAATTGATTAGCCCAATAATCGCGTAACGACGTTTGCCCCGGGTATGCATCATCGATTCGGTAGCGGGAAGTTTGGAGCCGGACAGACCCTTTCTAATTCAATCAGGCAACTTCCCTGTCACGGACTCGGGCATTAGCCGAGCGAAACCGGAAACTTCGACCGCATTGTTAGTCGGGGACAATTACGCCGGGTCTCTTATTAAACGAACGAATTTTACAGCCAGTAAATTAGATTTGTGCCCCGGCTTCACGTTAATTCACAAGAGGAGAGAGATAGATAGATAGATAGATAGATAGATAGATAGAGAGAGAGAGAGAGAGAGAGAGAGAGAGAGAGAGAGAGAGAGAGAGAGAGAGAGAGACCGGGGCGCATCGACGAGACAGACCGTTGTCATTAATTCTACGCGGCGGCGATGTTTCGAAACGGGGGCAAACATCGAAGTCCGATAATTCTTGTCGAATAGACGAGTCTTTATTTAAGGAAGATCGATGGCAGAACTCGGCTCGTTGCATCCGGTAGCCAAACCAGCGGGTGCAACGACCCTCTGTTTACTCGGCTCGTAAGTCAGGCGTTCGCTCGCTGATAGCTGAGTGACATCCTCAGAATTTGGGTCGACGTTTGGTAAATGACTCGGTTCGATATTCTCGGCTAGAGGCTCGCCGGGTTCGAGCCTGCAGGATAATAAATAAATCTGGTACATCCGCGGTAGCTTTTGAAGGTAATATCGTTTATTTCAGCTACGTGGGGATTATACTGTACACGAAGTCAACTTTATGTAATTTATCAGTCGCAGAATGGTCGACGGTCTCACGCCTGAGATTCGACTGGCTGCCGCTATCTGTAATAGAACGGCGTTGAGAATAAAAGTTCAAATCCAGAATTGCTAGGTAGCTGATTGTTAATAGGATCAAAGGTTGTTGAACTGACGAATCAAGGCCAAAACAGCAAAATTGCGACAACGTGATATCACTATATCGAAAATCTTCGTTGATACCATAGACTTTAGTTCAGAATGTTGTTTCATGTAATGAAATAATATAGGAATAAATCAAGGCATCGAAATTTGGTAACGCAGTCTGCGTTCTTACCGTATACGGCTGAAGCATCGACAATTTCTCCTTCTCTTCTATGGATATGGACAACCGTGGCCTGAAACGATACGCGAAGTCGATTAGAATTGTTTCATAATCATATTTTCTTTGTTTGCTGCGACCATTAAACGTACAAATTGTAGTCGATGTCCGGAGGTATGATCATCTCCTCGTTCTTGCGGATCTCGTTGACCTCGTTCTGTTGTTCCGCGATCCCATTCGCATAAATCGCTTCTATCTAGAAGATCAATTGAGCGGTCATAATAATCAACGATGAGCGTCTACTGATTTACCGACATTAGTTGCAATGAAACACACTCGGCAACTCGGGCGTGTGCTCGATTGCAACTTAGAAAACGTAACCGCGCTGCGTGAAGCGATTTTTAATACCTCCAATCTTCGTGCTAGTACTGGATCGTCGGACAAGTGCCGAAATCGATCCGGAAGTACATTGACCAAAGTTTCGACAGACACGGTTTCCTCGTATGTGCCCAACATCTGAAAGGGGGTTTTGCATTGAACGTTTTTCGACGGTCGGAAATTCAGCAACCTCCGCCATTTCACAGACGACTGGGATTCACTTTGCAACAAGTCGATGCTCTCTTGTAATTTCGACAGAATGCTTTCCGTTCTCGACATTCTCTCTTCCGACACGCAACCCGTTTCGTAGCCTTTCCTGGTGAGCCTTTGGTCGGCGTTATCAGGTCGCAGGCTCAGCCTAAACTCTGCACGGCTGGTGAACATCCTGTAGGGTTCGTTCGTCCCTTGAGTTGTTAGGTCGTCGATGAGAACGCCTATGTAGCCCTCAGTGCGATTAATTATCAATGGTTTCTTCTTCAGTACCTGATCAATTAATTCTAAATGTGATTTTCGAGATTCGCTTGAAGCGGAATTTAGTAAATAAATGATCAATTAATTGGAAACCTTGGCTGCAGCATTAACACCTGCCACTATACCCTGCGCAGCTGCCTCTTCGTAGCCAGTGGTACCATTTATCTGTCCGGCGAGGAATAATCCTGGTATCCTCTTTGTTTCCAATTTAACGTTCAATTCTGTAGGATCTATATAATCGTACTCGACGCCATAGCCAGGTTTCACTGCGAACAAAACATAATCTTTAGCTGCATAATGAGAAAAATGTTCATTTCGATTATCCGGTGTCCAGGGAACCCAGACAGTGCCTTAGACTAAAATATGGTGGTTTAGATGTTAAAACAAGTGTACAAGAATTATTCAGAAAATTCTTCTGCATCTACATCATTAGAGAAATATATTTATTTCTGAAAATGTCGAGAAATTGTTCAAATAAACTGTGAACAAATTGTTTGATAATGGTGCCTCTTGTGGCGAAATTTGAAAATTTTTTTTCGGAGTCTGTTCAGCGCCAACTGGGGTAGTGGCAAAATGCTCAAACTGTTAGCCAAATTCAATTGGTAATTTTGGCTAACAGTTTGAGTGTTTTGCCACTATATGATTTGGCGCTGTATGGTCCTTAAACAAAGCTTCCTAATTTCGCTACGAAAAGCGCTACGATCGATAAATTTGTTCACTCTGATTCTTACCGGTATTTATATTGTGTTTTATGTACAAAGCGGAAGGAATCATTTGCATTTGAGTAATTGATAATATTTAAATATTTTCCTATTGAGATTTTATAATTTTGAGAATTCAAATTGAAGCTGGAAGAATGCACGTCTAAATATATAAGGCATTCTTGATAATAGCTACAAGTACAACGATCAATGCAAAGAAAACTTACACATTTTGGCATTTTCTAATCCTGGTATGCACTGTATCAGCTGTTGCTGCTTTTCTGCTGGAAGAGTACATGATAATCCCGAGGGATATATTATGGGTGAGTCGAGCCCTTCCGGTTCCAACCAAATATGGTGCTCGTTTGCCGGAAATTTTAAGATTTTGCTCTCTATACTTGGACAATACCGTGGTCCCGTTATCTCCTCCGTAACATGTGAATTACAATGCAAATTCTCTTTTATTATTTTGGCCACTCCATCCGTTGAATGTGTTCCATAACAATTTAGTTGCTTCTCTACCGGTAGCCAAACAGTCTCGTTCAGGAATGAGAAAGGTGTTGATACTTCGTCAGGTAACTGTACAGTGCATTTGGTAAAATCTACAGTAGATTTTTCTATTCGTGGTGGAGTGCCTAAATAATATATTGGTTTCATAAATGTAATGTAACTAGAGTCTCTAGAGACAAAAATGTCGGATGGAAAATCGCATACCAGTTTTCAATCTTCCCATTCTAAATCCAGCCTTTTCTAATGTATTAGCTAAGCCTATGCTTGGTTCATCATCAAGTCGTCCAGCAGGTCTTTTTTCTAAGCCAATATTAATTTGGCCCTTTAGAAAAGTACCAGTTGTTATAACAACTGCATCACTGCATATTTTTGTTCCATCCTCTACAATAAGCTTGCTATCAATTTTTAATTCTATGAAAAATGATATACTTATTATGATTGTGATATAAACATACTGAGAACTATTCCACGGCAATTTGGAGAATCTCCTTGTATGATTAAATCCTCCACAGAGGATTCACATATTTGTAAGTTAGGAGTATTGAACAGTTCTTTTTGCAAGTGTTTCTTGTATAAACCACGGTCGATCTGTGCTCTGTAGCCCCATACAGCTGGCCCTTTACATCTATTTAATATGTTATAATGAATCCCAGAGAGATCGCATATACGACAACAAACACCATCCAAAGCATCTACTTCTCTCATGAGATTCCCTTTGCCAATTCCACCAAAGGATGGATTGCACGACATTTCTCCTGTTTGGTAAAAACATTGTGCTGAATTATGAATCCATGAAGTTTTATTTTACTATACAAATAGAAATCATACCTACTGTACTTTTTTTATGGGTAACCAGTAAAGTTTTAGCACCCATTCTGGCAGCAGCCGCACAAGCTTCTGTTCCAGCATGACCACCTCCAATCACGATCACATCAAATTTATGTTCATTGATAGTGGATGAAAAATTTCTCATACACTGGTAAAACCTTTTTCTATGGTGAAAACCCAAAGAGGATATTCCAATCCTTTTTAGACTCATATTACTGTTAGATTGACCTAGGATAAAAAGAAAAAATACTATTTATATTTTTATAAATAAATTTAATTTATTATAATTAAATATACAAAATACAAAATTTACAAAATTATAAATAAAAAAATAGGAGACACGGATGCTTATGATATAACAAAGTCATGATTTTCAAGTTTTTTAAATATACAATTGTATTTAATTGCATCTTGAATTTTTGACAAAATAAACTCATTGCATAAATCTGCTTTATTCACAAATTTTATGTTCATATATTGCAGATCATTTAGGAACTCCAGAACAAAGTCAAAACAATTCATTGCTGTTTCATCATAATCTTCTGATTTCCACTTTGTAAGCTCTAACATTTTTCCTAGAATTGTATCCCAATGGTAATCCCAAGAGCTTGGGATTATTTTGAATGCGATACAATTTGTCCACTTTGATCGATCATTTAAAATTATACCTTCTTTATCATATTCATAAATATTTCCTTTAGAATCTGTTAATCCTATGTGTAAATCTTTAAGCATGTCATAATCATTTATAAATGTGCCTTGGGATGGTCTGACAATTACAGCAGTTGGATGATATGCTGCATTTGTGTATGGATATGGTACAAGAAAAGGTTCTACATTATACTCCAAAATATGTGACTGACAAATGGGACAGACGTCTGGAACATTTTTACACAAAATGCTTTTTGATGAACAATGGCGAAAACATATAATTCCAGGATCAAAAGCCATAATATCCCTGCTTTCTTTTAACAATCTCAAAGGAATAACGTGTTCATAGAATCAAGTGAAACAGATACAAACTTCAAAAGCTATAAAAACAATTTATTTCTTTCATTATTCACATCAAATACTCAAGAAGCAAAATAAAACATGCTAAAAGTATTTTACCTTAATCGATGAAACGTTAAAGTTTATATATTTCTAGATACATTTATAAGAATATTTCAAGTATTTTTCATACTTTCACGTAACCTTTGAGTCACTTTCATATCGCACTATTATGTGTATCATTGAAACCATAATAAGCATAGACTATGTGTCGGAGTAGACCAAGCATCATATTGGGTCTTTCTGTCACCCGTTCTGAAATACCAACATCCCTTAAAACTAGTGCTTCGACCACAGACGAAGTATGGACGCTGCAGAAATACCAACTTAAGGCTTGTCTTGAATTTATCAGATTCGTGTCACAGGTCACAGATGTGTATGAATGTGTACATATATACATATCGGAGAAGGTGTTCACCAGTGCCAGTGTTCGCTTTTACTTGGTTTTCTGACAGTAGCATTCAGAAAGAAAAGAACCGCTATTAAAAGTTACTCTCGGGTTTGTTAACACGCTGCTCATACAGGTCCCATCATGGACGATTTACAGAATTATAAACTGCAGCTACAGCAGGTGAGATTTTGGTTTTTTGCTTAACCTCATCGAAATGGTGGAATGGCGAGTCCATTTTTGGTGATCCCGTGGTTGTTTACGAGCTTTCGATCAGACATGAATTTTCGATTTTGTTGCTTTAGGTGGAAGCAGCTCTTACCACGGATCCAACAAATGAAGAACTCCTGAAATTGAAAATTGATCTCGAGGAAGTAATAGAGCTGACACATGATTTAATTAAATCACAACAACAGGAAAAAAGGCAAGCCAATGGCATGGATGCTAAAGATCCTATTTTACTTGCAGTTCTGGCCAATAAGTGGAAGGTTGGTGATCAATGCATGGCACCCTGGAGCGAGGATGGCAAGTAAGTAATTTTTTATGTCACTTGATGATACGTTACTGTTTCTTTTGGAGTCTCAGCTTGTTTCACTATATATTCTCTTAGAATCCCCGAACCTTGTGAAATCCATTAAGCAACATGTAAATACAAAACACTTGTGGCATATTTCATAGTTGTTTTACAATTTTTCAGATATTATGAAGCAACCATAGATGCAATAAGCGAGGATGGAGTTGTAAATGTTACCTTCAATGAATATAAAAATACAGATGTCACAATGCTAAGTCAGTTAAAGTCTGTAGCCAAAAGGCCAGCATCGGATTGGGCAGATCAGAAATCGAAGTGAGTGGTTGAGAAGTGACTGCTATAGTTGCTTTCTTTTACTAATTAATTTGCTATTAACACGATCCTTCCTAAGTTTGAGTACATACCAGATTTTTAAGTATATCGTGTGTTGTTTTATAAGAAACAATGCTAATCATTAATTTTTCTCCTTATCCTTCTATTCCTAATTGGCCATGATAATTACTGCACTGTTCGATGTGCCTTGATCTGAAATTCCATTATCGTTGATTTATCCCTTGATGTCATACTATATACATCGCCGGAATTCAGGAAAAGGTAACAAGAAATATTAGATTTTGTTGAAATACATATATTGTTCATTGCAATGGATTAAACTGAAAATTGAGTGCAAGATTGCTTGGTGCAAATCTTTCAGTTACTTTAATTGAGTTAGATTCTATGGGTCATAGGTTCATTAATTTACAGAAAAATGCAAGCTGCTGCAGTAGCAGGTTCAGATCCTAATAAACAAAGGGAATACCTAAAGAAAAAGAAACAGAGGAAACTTCAGCGATTTAAAGAACTCGAGGAAGAGCGTGAAATGGAAAAAAATAAATGGCTAGCATTTACAAACAAGGTAACTCCCATAGTTTTATTTATTTATAAATAATTCTATCGATTCTTTATAATGCTTTTGTGTTACATGAGCAGTCTTCGAAGAAAGGAGTAATTAAAAAGAGTATATTTGCCACACCAGAAAATGTAAACGGCCGAGTAGGAATTGGTACCTGTGGTGTGAGTGGTCGAGAAATGACAAAATTCAGTAACGGTGAAAAATGGAGGAGGGGAGCATGAATGTTATTGTAAATACACAAATTAATATTTCGCGAGATAGAATTATCAATTATTGTTATATTACATTGAATTCGGTTCTTGAGAGAACTGAAGGAAAAGAAAACGTATGTTTTGTGTTATGAGAATGTTTTAACAGAAGACGCGAATGAGGAGAGTGTAGCTATCTTGAGACTGTGTGTAGACATTATGTTAAAAACGAACAATGACCTCAATAGTAAATCCTGAAATTATCTGGATTTTCTATCTTCACGGAATGAATGATCGTCACGAATGTATGTATTTCTAGACTAATACATTTATCTGGGTATGATTTGTTTACAATCTATAAATGATACGAATAAATGTATATTTTAAAGCCAAACTATGTTTATTGAATATTTATTATTAACATTGCATCGCGGAAGTTCTCATGTTAATTAATTAATTTGTGTAATAATTTTTCACAAAGGTATCTTTACAATCTCAGAAAAAATAAAATAAAAAATCTGATGCCCAATATTTCCAACATTGCGGGGTAAGAAGTTCGGAATGATAGTCAATGAAAACAAAGCCGAAAGAGGTTCTCCTACCCCTAAGTCTAGCTCTGACATATCATCTGCGTTCCACCTTCACGTGTATGTGTGTGTACAGTACCGTTAGAAAGATCAAAAATGGTCGTTCTATCTTGGAACAACACGTCACCGCTAGGTGATATATTTAAAGCGATAAGATTGATATAAGAAGTTGATAAATTGCAAAAAATATGAAATCACCGCTACGTTTCTATCACGCAGTGATAACTTGCGACAATCACTGATTCATATAAATGCAGAGAATGCATCCTAACCTACACCAGTAAAGTTGACAACAAACACATTAGTTATATTGATCGCCTTTTCTTCGCTGAAGTAACCATATAATTTGATATTTATTTTATTGGAGTGGCAGTAGCAGCTAAAATATTTATTTGAACGATGTTAAGCAATGATTGATGTACTACTATACTGATATAGACATGAAGCATATTAGACAAGGCTTTTGTATTTATCTGTCAATATATTCTGTACTACTCTTACAAAGCTGGATTTGAAAGAAGAAGACTGATATTGTTACTACAGAGTACAGAGTGGTTAACTGTTGTATAAAATAGTCTCATGGAAAAAAACATGGAGCCCAATGAACAAAATCAAATGTCAAATGGAGATGTTGCGACTAATAGAGATATTGATTGGTCCAGGTACGGTTTGCATAATGTAGAAACTCAAAGGAACAATGAAACCAGAAGGAATAATGGAGAATATGAAGAACTTGGACCTGAAATGTATCAAACAGGAGCAAATGAGCTATTTGCCCAAGAATATGTAAGTAAATGTGCCATAAAAAGTAGTGATTCTATTTATATCTTTCTATACTTTATAGAGCTCTGACCCTTGGTGGAAATCAAATTTTTTCATTTCTCAACCTGTATTGTTTGGAACTTGGGACGGTGTATTTACATCTTGTCTTATAAATATCTTCGGAGTGATTGTTTTTTTGAGATCTGGTTGGATAGTGGGACAAGCTGGAGTTCTCAATGCAGTGCTAATTACATTATGTACAGGTAACTACAGTTACCTAAGAAAAAGTCCATAAATGTTGTATCCTCAATTATGATAGTTAAATATTTATGTGATTTACAATTGTTTCAGTATGCATTGTACTAGTAACAGTACTATCTGCAGTTGGAATTTGTGAAAGGTGTAGAGTAGAAAGTGGTGGAGTTTATTTTCTATTGTCACATGTGTTGGGATCAAGATTTGGTGGATCAATTGGGCTATTATACTGTTTTGGACAGGTTGGATAACACAGCTAATAGTAACATTATGGGAAGGTCATTTAAAATTTCTGTTGTAGGCGGTGGGTTGTGCATTGAATGTGTTAGGTTTTGGAGAATCTATGGCTGGTTTAGTGCACTTAGAGTCTGCTTGGGCAGAGCGCGGTTTTGCATGTGCAGCTGTTATCTTGTTATCTGTTATCAATGTCGCTGGTGTCAAGTGGGTCATAAAGCTCCAGTTTCTTCTCCTGCTAATTTTACTTCTTGCTGGAGTAGACTTTGTGGTGGGAAGTTTTACTCATGTGAATAATGGTAAGGTACTATGTGCTCTGTAACAGATTATTCATTTAATAACTGTATAATTATTATATGAATGTTGCAGAGGCTGGCTTTGAGGGCTGGTTTTCAGGAAATTTGAGAAATAACACTTTACCGAACTATCAGGATGGATACAGTTGGTTCACAGTGTTTGGTGTATTTTTTCCTACAGTAACTGGTGTTTTAGCTGGCATCAATATGAGTGGGGATTTAAGACATCCGTCCACGGATATTCCTAATGGTACTCTAGCAGCAGTTGGAACTGGGTAATTAATGTCGCCAGATGTTTGCATAAATTTAAATATATTCGTCGGAAACTTTATATCGGATTTTCTATTTTTAGAACCTTCATGTATTTGTGTTTTACGATGGTTCTTGCGGCAACGTGCACTCGTAATGCACTTCTGACGAATTTTAAGATTGCTTCAACGGTATCGGCGATTTCGGTATTGTTGTTGGCGGGTTTGTACGTGTCATCGTTCAGTAGTTGTTTGGGTGCTATGTACGGCACGCCCCGTGTCCTTCAATCTATTGCTAGTCAAAATGTTATACCAGGAATGAGTTGTTTACAAAGAGGCGTGAGTCAAATTGTCGGATAGCTTTCTCAAATTCTCGAGGCCTACAATACAGAAAATAAATTTATGTTTTTAGAGGGGACCAAACAAAGTGCCCGTGTACGCAATGTTGGTGGTTGCCGTTGTTACATTGACATTTATCATCACTGGACAGATTAATACTCTTGCGCCAATTGTCACAATGCCTTTCCTTTTGACCTATGCGTGTTTAGATTATGCATACTTTGCTCTTGCGCAAACGTTTGATATACAGTTGACTCGAGAACAAAGATTTCGAACACAATCTCCAACGTTTGACCGTAATTATGGATCAGCGAGTAGGAATAATTCAATGCCCGACATTGATAATGATTTGGATAATCTTTTCCCTGAAAGGATTAGACATAAAAATCTTGTTGTAAGTACACGCGAATATTTGGTCATTGTGTTACAATAATAAAACATTGTTTTGAAATTATTTGTAGAGAAATCCCAGTCTCTCTGAGAATAACTTTTACATAGACTCTTCGCCAAGTCTTGATGAAAATGCTAGCCCCATGGATAATTCCGAACGAAAAATTCACATCCATAATAAATCGGGAAATTGGTACAGTCCGTTGTGTAACAGATGGCTTTCACTGTTAGGTGTAAGTTTCCATAGATTTGACATGTATAAATTATGCAAATACGGTTTAAATCAAAGTATTATTTTCAGTGCCTTATCAAATTACTTATAATGTTTCTCGTTCATTGGGGCTATGCCATTGCCAACATAGTCGTTGTTTTTCTTGTATGGAGTTACGTTGGTCATGCTAATCCCGCTGTGAAACCGGGAGTATCATCAGAATTTAAATTCCTCAGTTGGCTGAAGTTATCGTTATTAAGGCTTATGGGGTAACAATTAAAACCATCATGATAATCGCTATTTTTATGATGCAGTTAATATTTAGTTCATTTTCTGAATTTTAGAAGGAAAGTTTATAGCTATGAACAGATTGTTGTTACTCCCGTCCATCCAGGAGTTGAAACATGTTCAGCTCAGTTGAACGAAGAGAACGAAGATTTTGCTGGTAGAAGAAGATATCATCAAACAGCCACGGTTACAGGACAATATGTGAATATGGATTAGAAATGAAAGACTGTGAAATATTTAGAAAAATCTGGTTGACGAGGTATACATATAAAACTAGGCAGGAGGAATTGCAAAGGAATCGCATAATTTTATATCCTAGTACATAGAGCAAAGAGAGCGTTGAGAACATTTTAACGCAATTAATCGCACAAAACTAGTCTTAACAAGAGTACATTTCATATCTTAGGCACATGGAATTTTTTATACAGTGCAGCATAATAGCCTTTAACGATACTAACAATATCTATCAAAGATCAGGTGTTATAACTTTTTCTATCAATTTACTCTACGTACAGCAGGCGCAGTTGATGCAATATACTGCCGGGAGCATTTCTAAAATGAAGGGTCCATTCATTCTTAATTGAAATTATTTTAATAACGCTATCTTCTAATGTGAAATTATTTATTTTTTAGTAGTTTTACTAATTTATAGTTAGAAGTGAATCATAGTATCATAATATGATTATATTGCAGCGTCATCATATTTATATAATACTCTGTAAATATGTAGTGATAATATATTTATATGCTATCGAACATTTTTATAAACATATTTGCGGCCACGAGTATGTCAATAATAAAATATACAAATATAGACTAGTATACAGCAATCTTGTACAAATTTCTTTTGCGCACTTTTTCCTACAAGGTTCGTTGAAACCCGGTATCTTTGGTTTCTCGAAAAACTTTGTTGAGCTCTCAAGAGCTCAATAAATTATTTTGGCAACCAAAACCATCGCGGTTCGACAGCGTAGCATCTCCTCTTTCCAGCTAGTCTAAAATATATATATATATAATCGTCGTACGATTTTTTAAAAACAATTTATAGTATGTGGGCTGCAACGGTCGATTTTGGAACTTGTGGGATCAAAAATGGAGGTTCACCGTCAAGCAAATTTGACTAGCTTTAAAAGGCTGTATCTCTGTTACATATGATCGTATCGCGATGGTTCTGTGCTCATTTCAAAGCGCCGGCTTCCTACTTTCGAATCCCGTTGCTTATTTTTATCTAGAGTGACCGTTCAGTTAGTAGCACACATTTGTCAAGATCCTCAGGAACATGGGTTTTTTAATATTCTGAAGCACTTCGCAGAGCTCTGGAGAACTCAAAACATTTTTTAAACGATCGATAGATAACTTATAGTCTCACCGTTCCAAAGAGTCCAAGACGATCGTGATACGATTTTTTTGACCCATTTTATGAAAAGAATTTCAGAAGCCTGCAACCTTGTTGCAGGTTGCCATATTGCGATTGATCTGGGCTCAGTTTAAGTCGAACTGGTATGAACGAACCGGGATGAACGAGATTAGGATGAATCGAAGAGGCTAAGAGAGGACCGGAACGAATCGTAGCGATTTAAACTGGAAGGAAATAGACCAGATCGCATTATGGCAGAACGGGACAAACGGGGGCGGCTCGAATTGAGCCAGGGTGAATTAAATCGGACCAAGGTCATCCGTGGAGGCTGATAGGGGTCCAGGATCTAACCCAGATCAGGATGGACTGAATCAAAGTGAAGCGGACTGGGACAAATTGGAAATGGTAAAACAAAAATGGAATAAGATGTAATGAATAATATCGCACGGGGAGATGATCCGGGCTAGCAGATCAGAGTCAATCTGATTAGGATGAACCAGAATAGAAACAATTAGATTAGGATCAGGATCAACTAGATTAGAACCGAATCAGGGTGAACCGTAGAGGGTAAAAGAAAATCAGAATAAATCGTAACAATTTAAACCGGGTAGAAAGAAGCCAGAACGTAGTGTGCAGCGGAACGAGGACTACTCGAAATGAACCAGCGCGAATTAGCTCGAACGAAGATGAACCCTAGAGGGTGAGAGGGGGCCAGAATGGATTGGAGTGGGTTAAACCGGAACAAAATGAACTAGAACGTATTAGAGCGGAATGGAATGGACCGCAGCGGGTAAGGGAGCATCCGAATGAGCTGGTGTTGGTCACAGTGAAACAAAGTGGATCGTGGCAACCCGAAGCTGTTTAATTATGATAATGAAACAGTAATGATTATAACGTATATGGCAATTAGCGATAGTCTAAACATTCCTTGCACGATGTAATAGCCATGTAAATACGTGTAGAAGTGACCCATCGAACACATTCGACTGTTTATGTTACATTCGAAGTGCACAAACATTATTTATTCATCGTTATTTTGTCGCTGTATTTTCGCAATACTTCGGCAATGGCAATGTTATAATCGTATTATCATGGTCTTGTTATTAATCGCTCTGGATTCAGTAAGTGCTGGAAGCCGCTGGAACCGACGCGGTGAGCTTCGGAAGCTTCGAGGTCCGCGGTGATCTCGCGGTTAGCCGTGATGGTTAACCTTCCCTTGCGCACCAGCCTCTTACGTGGTTGCGTTAAAATCATTCCCGGCGCCAGAATGCGAGATAATTAGTTCTGGAGAATCAACATCGTATTTCGGAAAGCCTCAGCTAATATTTAACGCTTTGGTTCACCCCGATCGCTATAGTGATCTGACCGAAACGTCGATGAATATTGGAACCACCTATTTGATCGATCTAAACCAAATGCTTTATTATATATCGGTTTTAAAACATTAATTCAAAATATACTATCCTTCTTATTCCAGGACAGTATACAAAAAATTAAAATAAAATTTATTATATGTAATATATATTATTATATTATTTTATTATTATTATATTATTGTATAATATATATTATAATTATATATTATATTATATTATTATATTATTTATAATATATATATATAATATTATAATATAATTTATAATATATATACAAATAAAA